GATGTCCTGAAATTTAACATACGATTTTGAAGTAGCTGCCTTTTCCGTTTGCCTTTGCAAATGGTCATGTCAGCGAAACAATATTTCAATCGATTACAATTAATATTTCCCAGTATGGCTTATGTTCAAAAAAAAATCTGAATTCTTATTACTTTCTAAGTGACGCAGTGAAAGTAAACTAAAAATTGTGGCAAAATTCTGAATTCCAGTTGCGTGAATCTAGTAGTAAGATTCCGAGTCGGTTTATCCATGAATGATGACCTCTTCGGATCGGATAAAAGATTTGTTGAAAGTTGTAGACCGACTTCATTTTCGTTTCAGGTGAATCGTTCCTCCTTTTCTTAATCTCTTTCTCTATGCCGAATTCTCTTCCAAATTACATTCGTTGTTGTTTATTTTAATCAGTGTGTTTCAAATAAATACATATGTAAATATTTTAGCGGCAACAGCAGCAACTACATATTGCAGAGCACAGTGAAATTTCATCCCCTCTTCTTTGTTTATTACGAAATGTTTTACTACCTTGACCTACCCATAGAGCGAGATGTATGCTTAAAACACAAATAATAAAATGTGCGCAATACGTATTAAATCAAATAAAAATAAAAAAAAATTAAAAAAAAAAAAGGTGCTATACATGCCTTCTTGCCATTGCTCATTTAAGACAAACCATTACATTACATCTTCCTGTCGCCTCAGTTAGGACTTTGAAGATTTTACATTTTTTCCTTTTCGTGGTTGTGGTGGCAGTGGTTTATTTAAAAAATTATAATGAAAAAATTACACGTTCGATCCTTTCTTGAAATTGTGCATAGATACGTTGCGATGATGGTATTTTTCCGATCAAGTTTTACGAATAATATAAAAATGTATAAATTTTTATACAATAAAGTTAAGAAAAAACATGCCAGTATCAGCAATTGAGAGCAGAGGCAAGCTGGCGTCAACGTTATTTTTCCATGCTCCATGTTACGCTTATAATGTACGTAAATTGTATTTTGTCACGGTTGCATGGGTGCCTGCATACCGTTGCATACTTCTTGAAACGTCATGCAATATTTTCAATTTTGCAGTTTTTGCGTTTATACTCTTTCCAATAAGTAGTTTTCACCATTTGACTTCTTTATATCGCACGTTAACGCGGTATACCCGTAAAAAAAAACAACAACATTTTCCTGATGACGAAATATCGCTCTCTGTCACTTTTAATGGCGTATAAGCGATTCTCTGTTTTGTTTCTGTTTATACAACAATTACGTTACACATACACGAGTGTATATTAATAAATATTTTTGTGCTCTAAACATTTATTATCGAAGTATGGTTATAGCATTTCCATTTCCATATATCTCTGTTGTGTGAGTAGTTGCAACGCCTTTTTACAGTCAATGCTTCATCATCATGGATTTTCAGAAACGGATCGATGCTATTACAATGTTATATATATATATATATATATATCGGATTTTACGGCAAAATATTTCTGTGCGCAAAACATATATAGAGAGAGATACGTGAATATACGCTTACGGCACAATTTGCCAATAATTAATAGTGGGCCATTATTGAATTACCAAAATCTTCGTCAGATATATGTGAAAATGTGAAGATATATCGACATGTAGAAATTCGCAAATATAAAAATTCTCAAGTATAGAAATGTATGAAATATATATCTTATCCCAATTAAAATTAAGCTTATTGTCAAATCCATATATAACTGTATTTTCATTTTTATTTAAAGCTACGAGTAAAAGCATTCTGGTTTGGGGCATCACCTCATTTAGATCATATAGATATAGATAGCGCGATTGGGCGTTCAATAATTGTAACAACATTAGTACCTTCAATGGATTAGCAAAACATATTTCTCCAATTTTCGGGACACGTAATGCGAACATAATTTCAAGAAGAACATTGTCAACAGCCAAAATATATATGGTTTTGTGAGAACGATATTCGACGACTTTTTTTATGTGTCGAAAGTCGCGAAGCTGATAATGATTCAAAAATCGTATCGAATTACATACAATACTTTACGCTCCTAGGATTGAAAGTAGAAATCGACAACACACCTACACTTATTAATTTAGGGAAGGGTAACAGTCGCTGTCTTTTTTTTTTTTTTTTGAAGAATATTCTCAGCACATGTTATTACATTAATCAAGTAAGCCGAGAATTCGATTAATATGATTTCGAGTTGGTGGAGAGAGTATAAGCGTTACGAGCGATAGTAGGTTTCATAATTTTATTTATTGTATGTTTTCGATGAAATTCTTCAGTAGAGTAAAGTTAAAGGTGCAGGAGGTGACACAGACTTGAAAGCAGTTTTTTACTAATTGCAATGCATGCCTTCTTTTGCGCACTTACACATTAGTAAGAAAATGTCTTTACGGGATATTTGCTAATACTACACAAACGTAACTTTCCTACGTACGCTCTATTTAACTTTAAATCTCTGCGTAGTTTTGAAATTAAAGTAGATCTCAAAAACAATATGAATTGTTTTTAAAGTAATGATGATCATGGTCGAAAGTAGCACAAGTAATACACCGAATAAATAAACAAAGGGTAATATTTCAAAATTGCAAGGATTTTGCTTTTACCTTATAGCTCAACTTAAATTAGGCATAAATCTTTTTAGATGTACATAAGAACTGATTTCAATCAGGGTACTAATCTAGAATTGAAAAATCTTGGACGATTTTTTTAGCTTAAGGCTGAAAGGCTGAAAGGCTGAAAAGATCTAGAATTAAAGATTATTGAATTTTGCATAAAATTGAGAAATACAATGAATGTATTTGCAGTGCTTATTCACATATATTTTCAGAATTTGTCGGAACTTTTTGAATAGTGTCAAGTCAATTCAAAAAAACCGTTCAAAACCAATGTTTTGATGAGGAAGCTCTTTGGTTTGGGGCTGTAAAGCAATCGAACGGTGAAAACATTTCCATGACGACCATTTATATTCGATTTGGCAGCATTGTTTTCGAGTAATAATAAATGCCGTGTCAATTTGAACGCATAGTAGGCTCGAACCTATGCTATGTTTGTAAAATGATTTTGAAAATTTTCCCTCTAAAACTTCAAATTCCCTTAATGTGGCTTATTAATAATGAAGAACGTTTTTTTGTGCTTCGCCTACTTTTCCATATTATTTCAAAGGCCACTTTGTAGATCTTAAGATGTTTTGTTCTTAGTATATTAAAAGTAATTTCAATTGTGTTTTTTTTTTTTTTTTTTTATACAACTCTCCTTTAAATCTACTTGCTTGTGAAAATTGAAAATTTTGCTAAGTAGCCATAGAAAGGTGAAAAATTTTTTTTTTTTTTTTTTGAAGGAAATTATATACATATTGTACTTTTGATTCAGATTATACAAGACAATAGAGACGTGTGGAATTTTGCGGCGATTAAACGCAATTGCATTTTTAAACAATTTTTTCCAGACTTTGATTATGCAAACTGTTCACTAAGGGGAATAAATACAACAAATCAACGAAGAGAAAATCCTGCTGCAAAAGGTTTTTAGATTTAAATAAACGAAGAGGACATATAAAAGGAAGAATCGTTTGCGAACAAAGAAAAGGATCTTTTATTTTTCGACTCAAGGGGCAACAGCTAACCAAGGTGATATCGTTCGGTGTTCAAGAAATTGAGCCGCGCAGAAACTACTGTTAACTACGAAATCAAAAATAAGAGAACAAAACGGAACTTTTTCAGGTTCTTTGGTTAAGCATTTTTTCCTGCTGAAAAAAGTTTAAAAAAAATAATAAAATAACAAAAAAAAACAAAAAAAAAAAAACTATTTCCCTCTGTATCAAGGAGGCGTTCCATCTTTTTCTCTACGTGTGCGAGTGCGTGCGAGTTTACTCGAATGAAATCAGCTTTTGCAAAATTGAAAAACAATAACTACCAACCAACCAACAAACCAAATTAACTAAACTAAACAACCACAAAAAAAAAACCAACTATTTAAACTAAATATATATTATTAGAGATTTAAAGAACAAAAAATATCCATATAGCAATTTTATTAATAATTATATATATATAAATTATTTTATATATATATATATATATATATATATATATATACATATATATATATATACGTGCATATGTATGTATATGTATATATATATGTGTATGTACATGTACATATATATATATATTGAAAAAGAGAAAAAACAGTAAAAAAAAAAAACTAAGAAAATCAACAAATTTATGGCAAACATTTCGTGATCTTTTTCAACAAAAAAAAAAAAAAACGTATCAAATTAAAAAAAAAAAAAAGAAAGATATTACAGAAAGGCCAACATTTTACAATATTTTATTGAACAAAAACTCTGAAGCAAAACCTATTTAACAAATATTTATTCAGTCAAGTCTTTATTTTTTTTTTTGTTTAATCGAATATATTTAATCCAGCATTCAAGTGTTGAAACTTTAAATGAACGAAATTCGCAGTTCAACAATAATAACAATAATAATAATAATAATTGTAACAAATTAAAACAACAACCCAGTCCAAGCGGCTTTTGGCGGCTGCAAAATTCAAGCAAACATCTAATTAAAAATAAAAATAAATAAAAGACATAAGCTGCAATAAAAAAAAAAAAAAATTCAAACAAAAACTCCTATTGAAAAGGAAACGAAAAAAACTGGGTGCGTAAATAAATTAAAAAAAAAAAATTAAATATATATATATATATATATGTATATATGTATGTATATGCATATATATATATACGGATATATCCTTCAACAATAACAATCCAAAGATTTCTAAAAGTATTTTTGCCTAAATAAATTGCAATTTTTTGTGTTTCATAAAAACACAATAAATTAACAACATAAAAGGAAAAAAAGAAAAAAAAAAAAAAAAGAGAAGAAAATCTAAAACTCGTTCGTTTTTTTGCCATTTTTATCAAGCGAACTCAAGCCATATTATTAAAAACAAATAAAAAAAAAAAAAAATAAATAAATAAATAAATAAACATATAAATAAAACAAAAACAAAAATACAAAATATAAATAAAAGTAAAGAATTGCAACTCAACGAAAAACCTTTCAAACGTTCCTTGTTACTGCTTTTGCTTTTCGATTCGAATTTTTGTGATTTTTCATTTGTAATATTTAAGCGGCTTTATATATGGCAACCTTGGAGGACTTTACACCCAGCATTTTACCAAAAACCGCCACCGTCGTTAACAGCACCACCACCACCGCTATAAACCCCGCAACTGTCTCGATTTGCACCGCAAACACAGCCGCTGCTAGCGCTGCCAGTATTGCAACTGTTCTCTCGAATACGGCTCCGACCCAAAATAAGAACTTTCTCTTGGAACCAAACAATACTGCAACAATTGCGAGCGAGGTTTTAGGAGAAATTCCAAATTCTATAATTAGTGCTTCCGCATCTGCTGTTGATTCTATCGTTGAAAAACTGGTCAATTCTCTCGATTTAAAGGAGCCCGTCATTAATACGCAAGGAATTAATAAGGAAATTATAAATTTGTCTTCGTCTTCATCTTCAGTGGGTGCTGGCAGTGTAAAAACAAATTCGGAGACCATAATGTTTAGCGAAGTGTTTGAAAGTAACGTTGGCACTGAACTTGAGTCGGGCGCTTTGGAAGATTCGAATTCATCATTGGGCGAGGGCGGAGTTGAAAAGAATTGCAAAGTTTGCTGGTTTGTTCTCATCATTATCATTATTATTATTATTATTGTTAATAATATATTTGTCATGAAGATGTAACATATTTTCTTTTTTGCTTTTTTCAATAGCTCTCGCTTGCAAAGGCCTCGCGTTCTCTCTTGCCTTCATGTCTTTTGTGAGGGATGTCTGATGAGATTGCTTACTGACGATGCTGGTAACATTTCTTCGTCATCGTCTACAACATCATCTGTGGCTGGCGAAATAATTCAATCGAACTTAAAAACTCAGATTGAATGCCCGATTTGCAAGCAAATTACTGCGGTAAGTTCATTTTCTTATTCTTATTATTAATTAATTATAGATAAAAAAAATATATTCCGAAATCTGATAGCCCAACCCGCGCATTGCTCATACATACAATTTCTGTTTTGTTGATATGTATTTTGAAATGAAAATAAACAAACTCATGTTTCCTTGACTTGTTTACATTTTCCAAAGGTAGCCATTTTGGAAAGTTTTGGACGAAAGACGAAAGTGTTTCTTCTCAACTAAAAAGTGAAAACTTCAAAAATAAAATATAAACAAAAAATTAAAACAAAAAAATATATATATATATAAAAAATAAAAAAAATGAAAATATTGTAAAATTTCGTCATGGAAACACTTCACTGCACTACATAAACATAAGTTTGTTGTTTGTTTTACCAATAATGGTAACGGTACGATAATTATTCTAATTTCTTTTGCCACTTTTTTTGACTGCTTTGCTTGCCTATGTTTAATTTTTAAGTGCAAAACAGACTGCGTTCAGTAGTGGGGTTTGCACAAAATTTACGAACTCCTCTTCTATCGAAATGCGATTGCAGTCAAAACCTAATTAGCGTTCTCCTCAATTACGGTCGCGTTATAATTGTTATGGAGTGCGTGAGCAGTTGAATGTTTTATCTCCGCTATACATCATTTTTCGTCTTCGGGCCTGCAACAAAATTCTCTAGTTTGCATTGTAACCAATTAAGCAAACATTATTGGGTGGATGCTTGTTTGTGTGATTTGAATTTTTTATTCATGCATCGTGATGCCCATTTAGATGCATCATTTAAATTCGTGGAAACATTTGTAGAAAGGTTAGAAATTTCGGTTTTATTCATAATAAATGAATTGATTTTAGTGGGATGGATAAGGATATCATGTAAAATAAATAAATACAACGAAGAACAAAACAAAATGAATGGTGCAGTTAAAGTGTTTATGCTTTCTTCTCATTACGAACGATTTTAACTGAAAAGTTAAATCAATTTTTGTTCTATAACTGTATTGACTGACGTTCAATTAGCTACGCATCGATATATGACAAGTTTAAGATTTCTATTTCAATTTTTGCAATCATAAGCATTTTCGGAATAATAATAATAATAATAATAATAATAATAATAATAATAATAA